CTATCCAGCCCAAATCAGTGCTGGATATGCACCTGTTCTGGATCATCACACAGCTCACATTGCTTGCAGATTTGCTGAGAAGAGTGATCATCCTTCTGGGAAAAAGCTTTTGAAATCTGGTGATGTTGCCATCATTGATATGGTTTCTGGCAAGCCCATGTGTGTTGAGAGCTTCTCTGACAGCTGCTTTGCTGTTTGTGACATGAGACAGACAGTCACTATGGGTGTCATCAAAGCAGTGGGCAAGAAGGCAGCTGGAGATGGCAAAGTCACCAAGTCTGCCCAGAAAGTTCAGAAGGCTAATTGAATATTATTCCCAACATATGTGACCGAGTCTTAATCAGTGGTAGAAGAACAGTCTCAGAACTCTTTGTCTCAGTTGGCCACTTAAATTTAATAGTGAAGGACTGGTTAATGGTTATAGTGCATGGTAAAACCTTCAGAAGGAAAGGAGAACGTTTTGTGGGCTATTTGGGTTTTTTTTTGTCTGTGGCAGTTTTTAAGTTATTAGTTTTTAAAATCAGTACTTTTTAATGTAAACAACTTGACCTAAATTTGTCACAGAATTTTGAGACCCATTAAACAAAGTTCAATGAAAAAATAAATAAATAAATACACAAAATTACTAAGCTAATTAAACTGTACTTTGTATACATAGAGTAACAGGGCATCACTTGTAGCACTTAATCCCTACAAACCTAAGAGATAGAAATTATTCATCTTTTAGATGAAAGTGTGAAAGATGATCATCTTGATCAAGCTAAAGAAACAGAACACAGCACCTGCCAGAACAAAAACTAAGTGAACCAACATTAAATTTCAGTCCTGGCTGCTGGCAAAAGAGCAAAAGCAGGGAGAGACAAGAAGCCCACCCCATCAACAAGGCACAGATGTGCACGTAGCTGAAAGAAGATCTGACACCTGAATTCTATACCCAGCAAAAATATCTCTCAAAAGTAAAAACACAATACTTTTGTCAACAAAAATGAATTATAAAAATAAAGAATTTGCTGCCTGTCTTCAAAGAGTATGTTAGCTGACAGCTTCCAGTTAACTCTTTCTTGATCAGCCTCAGCAGCTGAGCAGATGTCATGGTGCTCTAGGGGTAGCCCTCACTAGGTAGGGAGCGTGACAGTGGTTCACCAATGGGAGACCCCTCTAACAGGCAAGCTTTGTTTTGCAGACCCTCCATTGGTCTGGCAGAGACTTTCCAGGTAGGCATTAAGGTCTCACAGATACCCCTTTTGATCTTGCTTCTACCCTTTTCCTTTTACATTTATTACTTCCCAGTTAACCTTCTGAATTCTTAACTCCATCTCTGTGCCTGCTTCCCAGAAAGGCTAGTCTGTAAATACTGCATCTGTAGTGGTCAGGAAACAGGCAGTAAGATGGGGTTTGGGGACTTTTCTCCCATGAGCCCTCTAGCAATCATGTCCACAACCGTAGGGATAAGTGGTGTGCATATAACCCTAGCACAAGGTAGGTATTGATGGCACGTCTGACTTGCTACCTTCAAGGCAATATTGTTCGAGGATGAGGTGCCATCCTTCAGGACAGTGTCACCAGAGAAAACATCAAGTGTCTCACTGAACTACAAGCTATGGTTGCACATTGGGCTTCCTGTGACCAGGATCAGAAGGCAAGAAGAGAGAACACTATCTTGTGAATGGTAATTGATGCTGGTCAGCAGGAGAAATAGAGCTGCTGTTACAGAATAGGGGTAGGAACATGTGACAAACTAAAATCCACCTGGTACTCCCTTAAAAACTGTAAATGAAAATGATAAATGCTGCAATGTGGCCTGAAGAGAGTAGGATTACCAGGGCCTCAGTCTTGTTATGGTCTAGAGTCTCCCCAACACCGAGCAGAGTGCCTAATGCAGTATGACTGTCTATGAGTATTCGTGAAGTGACTGACTGAGTAGCATGGGATAATTTTCTTCACCTTATGCCTTCTTCTGGCAAAATACTTATCAAAATGCCCTCTCCGGCTATCTCTGACTTTAATCTCTCCAAACTCTTTTCCACATGAAACTAATATGATTAAATGACACCCTCTTAGGTGACAGCACTTCTTGTATGGGTGCTCTGTGATTGCTGGGACGGAGGATTGTGATCTACTTGGGGCTGCTCACAGCACATTAGAGACCTTGATGTCAGATAATTCGATAGTAAAAGCAGGTATTTCCAAGTTGGTACCAGTTGGCAGGCAGTCTTTTGGTTGTGCATATTTTCAAAGTGATCCTCCAGCAAAAACAGGCACAGGGCATGTTTGGCTCTGGAACACTCTCTACTGGCCCTGCTGCCAGTAACAGTGCAATGAACCTGGCAGGGAAGGGAGCAAAGCGACTCCCACATGGGGCAAGAGGAAACATATGGAGCCCACTCATTACAAAGGGAGGCTGAGAAGATCTGGAGATGAAAGGGCCTTCCAATTCTAGCAGCTCGGGGTGGGGATTAGTCTCCCATGACTGGCACTTAAGTAGTCTAATGACTTCCAGCTCTGGCCAGTTAAAGAGTCTACTGCACAGAGTAAGTACTCCCTTTGATCCTCAAACACAAGATGGACATGTAAATGGATAAAATATCAATGTTAAACACTAATTCCTTATAAAACTTCATAAATATCTACTTTTGCCTCTGACTCATGAGCATTTATCGATATCTATAGAAAGAAGAAGACTCCCTTAATGTTTTATGAAAGACACACACATTGTACACGAGTACTTTGCATCATTTCAGTTTTCCAAGAAAAGGAGTTGAGTGTAACTATGTTAAATAAAACATTGAAGCTGTATATAAAATACCTGTGCCCTCCTTCCAAGGATGCCCATGAATCCCTAGAACCTGTTAATATGTTACATTACATGGCAAAATAGACTTTGCTGATTTGATAAGGTCCAAACCTTAATATAGGGAGATTATCCTGAATTATCTAGATGGACCTAGTGTGATCACATTAGTTCTTAAAAGGAGAGATCTTTCTCTGGCTGGGGTCAGGAAAGATGCTGCAGTGGGGAAATGAGAAAGATTTGAAGGGTGAGAGGATCCTGACCTAATTCTTGCTGGCGGGGGACCACATGGAAAGCATGAGAAGAAATGGGCAGCCTGTAGGAGAAAAGATCAGTCCCCAAATGACAGCTGACAAGGAAATTGGACATGAGTCCTACACTCTTACAAGGAACTGCATTTGGCCAGCAACCTAAATGAGTGTAGAGGGACAGTCATCATCCTCAGAGCCTCTAGGTAAGAATTCTGTCCAGGCAGCCCCAGGATTTCAACATTGTGCTATATTATTGAACAGAAAACCCACCTGAGCCACTATACTCTGACTTCTGACCTACAGAACTATGAATAAATAAATACACTTGTGTTGTTTTAAGCCACTAAGTTTGTAGTAATATGCTATGACAGCAGCAGAAAATTAATATATTACCAAATATCAATATATTAACTCCAATATTCTATGGTTCTGAAATATAATTACCACTAGAATAATCAATTAAAATTGTACATTTTCAGAACCAATTCATATCCTACTACTGAATGTTATGTTTTATAAAAAAATACAAAAAATACAAAGATTATATCCATTCATAATTGTTACTGTTGGTATTTAGCTAATTATTAATAAAGGAAAGAGAACAAAGGGTATTAGACATTGAGCTTGTTTGCTTCACCAGGAAGCTCCAGGCTCACACTCCAGGGGATCATAGCATTGCTCCCCAAGGGGATTAACACACCTCCGTTCCCCCTTCCAGTGCTGGACTATTGTGGGTGTGGGTGTAAGGGGAGGTGCTGGACCATAGAGGCCTGTCAGTCTAACTAAGAGGCATAAACCTATAAAAGCCCATGAAAGCCTGCAAAGTTGACTGGTCATTTTAAAAAAGCTTCTGGTCTTTTCCAAGCCTGAGACATAACCCCAGGGGAACAAAGAATTTCTCTTGCTCTCTCACCCACCTGATGATGCACACACTCTGTGTTCTCGAATCATCTCTCCATAGCCATGTGGCCTTAGCAGCTATATGGCTCATGACCATGTGGACACCATGTGGAGTGTAGACTCCAGAAGGGAGCCCGAATCCTGCAGCACAGCAACAACTACAGCTGGAAACACACACTAACTAGCTAGATGCTGGACTGGACTGGACTTTCTTATGGAACAGAAACCCTGGACAGTCGCCTTCATCCTAGCCCTCCTAAAGACAAGACTAGACCTTTTCCATGATGAGACCATTGGGAAGTCAGGAGGGAAGCCCCTTCATTTTACATGATCAATAAAGTTAACCGCAGAGCCCTATCCTCCTGTGTGGGTCTTGGCAAATTCTTTCCCTTGTGACACCACAAGAACTCCACTGCCACTGATAACAGATAATTATGGGGTACTTTTTAAAATGTTATCTAAATATACCAATTTCTAAGTAATATACCAATTCTAAGGAATAATATACCAATTTCTAAGTAACCATCCTCTCCAATATTTACAACTTTAGCATTCATTTTAAAATAAGAAATAGATAATCACTTTGTCAAATCTTTTTCAAATTATTTTACCAGTTTCATACAGTTTACTTTAGGTGCACATCTCTTTTCAAACATGTTTAATATATTTTATTAGATTCATATTTTATATAGCAATGTCATAGTCACATGAACAAAGGCCAGTGATCGTTAATACGCTTGAATGAATCAATGTTTACAAAAATGTGAGGACATAAAGATGCCAGATCTTTACAGGCCTCAGAAGTACAAAGAATTCTAAGGCAAAAGTCACTCATATTTTTAGTATATAAATACATAAAACTAATAATATCAAATTATTTTTTCACAGCTTAGTAGCTCAAAGTTGCAGGTGGTTTTCTCATAAGAATGCCACAGTTCCTCCAGCTCCTTGACCGGCTATAGTCAATGTTTCTAAATTATAACAGTGCCAACAAAATGAATTTTTCCAGGGGCTCTACAACATACTATAAGATCTTGATTTGGAACACGGACACTCACTTTTTCTGAGTTCGTTCAGCCAGCTTTGCAGCCTCTATAGCTGCCCTCCTTATAGCCATGATAGTTGCCTTCCTTGCTTCAAAATCTCCCCGTTTCACCACCTTGCCAGTCCCTCGGCCGCCGAGCTCCACCAGCTGGCGGGCCAGGTCTTCATCCTGAAGAGAATACCAACTGTTAGATTTGTGGATGAATTAGACACTTCTTTTACCCAATGTATCCTGAATAATTGTGTTAAATGGAATATCAAATTTATCATTTTTAAATGATACAAGGTCTATTAGATATGAAAATTAGAATTTTTCTCACAATACTGTATTACAAGCATTTGATTTGTCATCTCTTTCCCACAGATGTAAAATGAAAAACAAATCAATCACTACATTTTCTCTAAGGGATTGGAAGACAAAAGTCTGTTGTGTTTTAAATCAATTTATGAGAACAGCTGTAGATAATTAATAAAGAATCTTTAAAACAATAAAGTTAGACACAATTGTACTCCTACAAGAAAGACTTTTATAAAAACCAATCACACAAAAACAGAATTGGGCTGTTGTCAGAAAATTCAATATTTCAGAGACTTACTTCCTTGAAGTAAATTAACTGATGACACAGAGAATTATAACTTCAAACACAAAATAAAGAGCAGACGAATTTCCTGTTTAAGTAAAAAGATATTGTTTCCATATAATGTTGGCACCAATAAAAACAGAAAAGTAGAAATTCAAGATGACTATAAAAAGCTTCAAATTGAAAAAAGTTTTCCCACAATACATTGAGCCTTTTAGATTTCAGTTACTTTAGGAATTGTGTCACACATTTTTGTCATTTGAAAATTATATTCAAAAAATAATCTGACTTTTTCCCACATGCTCACTTTTAGTAATGTATTTAAGAAAATTTACATGCAAATCATCTGAAGGTGTCAATTTACCTGAAGTTACTAATATAAAAACTAAAGTATCACATAAAAATATGCACATAGTGATAATGACCCTTATATTATCATCTTAAGTAAATATAAAATATCTGAAATATAGTGAAACTGTGCTATATATTATTATTAGAGAGAGACCCTTACTTAATACCTAACTGTTGAATGCAACAACTATAAAACAGGATTAAATGAGAAAACTTAAGATGCATGGTTAGTAATCTAATGAACCCATAGTGGCTAGTTTAAAGTTAAAATTATTGGAACAAAACCAAAAAATAATTATACTATCAACCTAGAAAGCTTGCTGCTTTTCTTTGGTAGACACTAAAAGCAAATACCGTGTAGCAATGTGGCTCTATTTGCCAAGCTAATATAATGTGAAGCAGCAGGCCTTGTCCAGGCTGTGCGCCTTCTTTCTGACTTGTTCCCTGGCTTACTGGACTGCTAGCTCTGGTCTCTTTAGTCTGAACCGCAAAACTGGGCAAATGTCTCCACCTAGTGGAATTAAGATTTAATTTTAAAAAGAGATTTAAATGATTGTGGGTTTGATTTACAAAAGTGAGATGATTTGCATGTAAATTTTCTTAAATATATTACCAAAAGTGAGCATGTCGGAAGAAGTCTCAGCTTAGCTCTCTGAGCCTCTGAGAGTCTTCTAGCAGAACATAAATTGCTGTGGTCAACAGAGTATTTTATGTAGCAAAGACCATTAGAAAGTTGCTGTATTAACTTTGTATGTAGAATGAATTATGCATTCGTGGTGCCTTACCTGGGCTGAACAGAATTATTTGGATAGTTCTGCACTCATCTACACTAATGCATACTGCAACAAATGACAGGATCTACTTAGAAAACAAGTAGAGAGTTGAAGTTGGTTGCCTCATTTAATTGACCTAACTGGCCGAATCATGAATCATCTCTCCAGTTGAAATGGCCCATTATCTGTTTAGAAATTATCTTTAAAGATTAACTAAGAAATAAAATATTTATATTGATTCACATACTTAGCATTTGTGGGGCTTTTCATTCTTTTGTGTAGATCCAAGTCTCCTCCTGGTACGCAATTATCCTTCTATGTAGAACACTTTAACATTTCTTAGCATTCAGGTCTGCTAACAACAAATTATCTTGGCTTTTGTTTTCTTTCAACAAATACCCACTTATTTCATCTTAATTTTTGAGACATTTTTGCTAGATTAGTGGTGTTCCGGGCTGACTTTTTACATTTCAGCACTTTCAAGATGTCACCCCATTGTCTCATGGCTGGTTTTATTTCCAGTGAGGAGCCTTCAGTCTTTCCCGTTTTTGTTTTATTCTACACGTGGCCTTCTACTTTAGATTCCTTTAAGATGTTCTATTTATCACTGGTGTTCAGTGGTTTTCAGATAGGAGTGATTTCTTTGTGTTTATTCATTTATTATGTTTGGAATTCTTTATACTCCTTGGCCTTATGAATTTATGGTTTTCACCAAATTTGAAAACATTTTAGCCATTAATTTTTCTAATATGTTTTATTCCTTCTGATGCTTTTGGAATTATATTTACTTTGTGGGGAGGGGTTCAAAGAAAATGTTATCATTTTTTATCAGACTCTAATAATTTTAAGTGCAACAGTTCATCTTAGTAAAAACAAGTGATTAGCCATGATAGTTGCAGTATGCTTTGTATAAATAAGGCAGTAATACTTTTTTAATTGTTAATGCTTTTTTTTCCTCATGTGATCATGAGTCACTAACTTTTGGATGCTAGATGTTTGAGGGTTTTAGCTACAAGGCAGCATCATGCAAAACTGAACCCTGAAAGGCTCAGCCCTGAAGAGATGGCTTCATTACTTTACAGGAGCTGTGAGACATGCAGCAAAAGTAGGCTCCCACCAGTGCGCAATAAAAGACTTGGTTCTGAATACATGGCTATACCCTACTGGGACAATTTTAGACACTACCAGGTGCTGGAAGGAACACCTGGACCCAAGCATGTGCAATGGCACAGCACCTTCGGGTTTCTCCCGCTTTCGATCTTCTCAGGTGAGTTCCATGCTAGAAGCCAGAGGGTCGATGCCCCAGTCCTATGGATTCCTGGAAGGCTACAGATTTGCAGCTGCATCTGCACAGCTCACTCCATGTACTGGCTTCAGGCTGTAACAAACACACACACAGCCTTTGGGCTAGAGCCCATTTCCCCCCACATGGCTGGGCCACTGAGACAAGCACCTCCTCATTGTTTCTCTGAGAGGGGGTGGATTCGAGGGTAGAGGAGAATTGGGGTTAGCATGTTGGGTGGTCTCAGCCAGATTCCTTATTGAGGAGTCTAGGACAAGAGGCATCCAGCAACCTGGGCACCTAGGTGTTTCTCATCCAGAGAAGAAAAAAGGAAAAGAGTCTATGGCCACTAGAACCCTTGACATTGTCCTACAGGCTACTTAGGTCAGTTGACTTTTATTTGTATCATTTGTTATTATGTTGTTTATTGATGGAGAGCAGTTGTTGTAGCTCAATCTTAGATTTCTTTACTAAAGTCACTAACTTGTTCTAACAGGTTTCCAGTTAATTTTCTTGCATTTATGTGGTAATCATAATGTTTATAAGTAATAATATTCTGACTCCTTCCAAATACTTATGCCACTTTTCTTTCATTGTAGCATTGCTTTGGCCAGACTGCCAATAAAAAATTAAGAGTACTAGTTAAGCTGATTGAAATGCTAAGATGTTAACCACTAGATAAAAAGTATACTATGACAGTTGGCTATATACTCTTCATCAAGTTAAATGAGTGACTTCAGAATTTTATCCTATTTTTTTCTGTATCTATAGCTATTGTCACATCTATAGATATTTTTCTTTTTTAATTTATTAATGACATGAGTTCATCCCATGACAAATCACACTACTTTTACTCTGATTTACTATTTCTTAATATAATCCTGGATTCATTTTACATTTCTTTTCATCCAGTTCATAAATAAAATTAGTCTTTAGCTTTTTATTTTATGCTATCCTTTTCTAAATTGATGTCAGGATTACACAAGTCCTATAAAATAATTTAAGAAAATTAAAATTACATCCTTCTCTTTTTAATTGTAATTAAATCGGATATAAATCATTCTCATTATGAAAATTAAAACATGGCAGATATAGTCCATTTTATTGCATTAACTTAGCTAGGTTAGAATTAGTTTTCCATAATTTACTTCCTCAGATAGTTACAGGTTAGGTTGGGCCACAAGAGACATTTGCAATAGATTGGGGAGGGAGAAGAGAAGGAGCAACCATGTTGTTCTAGCTCTTGCAGGATCTTCACCTTCAGCCTCCCCTATGGCTGGGCCAGGGGCCTGTGCATGTTCCACTCTGTGACTGAAAGTGCCAGCTTCTCCTGTGGATCACCTGATACAAGTTCCAGTTTGTCCTTAGAATTCTAACTCTTCCTTTCAGATCTCAGTTGGACCTTGCTTCCCCACTTCTTATGTATCTTTCTTTCCTGGCTGTCTGTCCTAATGTCTTAGAGCTCTAGCACCAGATACCAAATAAACAGCTTTAATGGACTGTTTAAATAGTTCTCATTTTATATGGTCAAATCTCTAAAAAATTATATACTTGTGACACACACACACACATACATATGTGTGTGTGTGCATACAAGTGTGTGTATGTGTATATTCTACTTCTCTGATTGAACCCTGAATGATTCACAATTAGCTACTGGTAATGATTCCAGAGGAATAAAAATGTAAGGATGGATTGTCTGAACTATGTTTACCTGGACTTAGTTCTCTACTCTTTTTTTAAAAGATTTTATTCATTTATTTTTAGAGAGAGAAAGGAGGGAGAAAGAGAGAGAGAGAGAGAAACATCAATGTGCCGTTGCTGGAAGTCATGGCCTGTAACCAACGTATGTACCCTGACTGGGAATCGAACCTGTGACACTTGGGTTTGCAGCCTGCGCTCAATCCACTGAGCTATGCCAGCCAGGGCTAGTTCTCTACTCTTATTAAAGACATTAAAAGCCTTGTCTACAGTGGTAAAGAGTACAGTGTAGACCATGGAATGCAGAGGCAAAAGTTATTTATCACCTCTGGATACCTGCAATGAAGATAAGGCTTTGGGTACCCAAGTGTTTGCCACCAGAAGACATTTTAGTGCCAATAGGAAATATAAGAAATATAATTGTCTCAAGGCCTTAGCAGGGAAAAAAGGAGGAGCTCAGGGCTTGGGTGATTAGCAAGCT